AGTCCGCCACTCCCGATGGTTCAACCGCTTGTTGGTACTGCTGCTTCCTCCCCGAGATCCCCTTGGAAAAGGCCGAGTATCGATGAGTTCTCGCTTGTTGTAACGAGGGGTTGGATTGTGCATGCTGGGAAGCTTCTCATTATAGTACGCCTGTGTGAAGGTCGACACCTCCTCTAGAACGGAGGCCTCTCCCACGGAAGCCTCAATCTTGGCTTTATTTCTACAATTTTTCCGAAGAAGCTTTAGACACCTCTCGATTGGATAGCACCAACGGGCTGCACGGGCCCCCAACCGTGCCTCGCGCGGTAGGTGCAAGATCGAGATGTCGCATGGATGTAAAGAAGCCGGTGGAAATATCATCTCCAACTTGCGAGAGCAACAGAGGTGCAGCCTTCTCCAGCTCAACACAAACATCCCGAGACAACTCCTTGGCACAAAGTCGGGCGGAAGAAGAAGCTCAACTCTGCCAGACGCGCCACACACATGCTCGGGAGGTATCCCGGGTCATCGCAGGAAGGATCCGCTCAATCCATATGTGGAAGTCATGGCTCTTCATCCCTAAGACTTTCATAGTCCGCAAGTTCACACCACCCGCGCCAGATTCGCGCGATACCCATCGGGAACTTTAACGTCTTGATCCACTGCGCAGAACTTCCTTCCCCTATCGCCCTTTTCGTGATGTAATCGGCGGCCCCTTTTCCATTTCTCTGCCGGGCGCAGGGTCTTCATCACCAGATTTGGTCTATCATAGATCATCTCCGTGTCCAGCCTAGCCTTGACGTTGTCCTTCGACTTTTTGCCAACGTCCATGAGTGTTGCCCAGAGTGCCTCGGCCACATTCTTTTCTGTGTGCATTACATCGATGTTGTGTGGAAGAAGAAGGTCCTTGAAGTAGGGGAGCCTAGTCAAGCCCGATATATGAGTCCACATGTGGTCCCGAGCATATCCCTTAAACCCACCTGTTTCCTCAGGTTCGAGAGCCTGTATGTCGGCAAGGACGGCGGCAGGGCTCTTAACTCATGGAATGGGGCCGGTGACTTGAACGCCTTTCGTGAAGTGCTTTACATCTAGCCTGAATTCATGGTTCTCAGGCAGGAATTGGCGATGCTTGTCGAAAGAAGAAAACTTGCCGCCCTTGGCCAGCCAGGTGAACATCACATCTGCCTTGCATGTCGGGCAAGGGAACTTCCCGTGAACACACCACCAGCTGAATAAGCCATACGCCAGGAAGTCATGCATTGAATACTGGTACCACACATGCATTCTCGAAGTTCCTCTTCAGTAGCCTTGGTCGTGCGTGAGTACCCCTCTTCCCAAGCAAGTTCCAATTCATCCCACACCGGCTGCATGAACACACCCATATTGTCGCCGGGTGTCCGTGTATTATCAACGTCAAAAGCACGTTCTTAGGTTCAAACATGACACCGGGGGAGATTGAGGGGATCACAAACATGGGCCGCAAGTGTATGCGGGGCCGCCATCATTCCAAACGGGTTGAACCCATACATTGCCGGGCCTTCGCGTACATTCCCGAGCCTCCATAGCCTTGACAGATTCATGTTATCGAAGTGCTTCCATGCATCACCGTCCGCCGGGTGTACCATCTTGTCAGGATGGTATCTTTTGCCATTCTTGTGCCACGTCATCTGTTTCGCGGACTCCTCCGTCATATACAGCCGTTGCAGCCTCGGTAGGAAAGGAAGGTGCCGTCTGACCTTCTCGGGGACCTTAGACTGTTTCATGCGCCATCGAGCCTTCTACCAACACGAACCTAGAGGCATCGCGCCGGACAGGTTTTTGCTTCCTCGAGGTCTCCCACGAACAGGGGCGCACCCCTTCGGACAAGCATGGATCCCCTCATACGGCATCTTAAGTGCACGAAGGAGCTTCTGTGTAGCGTAGGTGTTCGTCGGCAGGACATGATCTGCCGGAAGCAGTCCCCCAACAATGCTCAACACGAGATCGAAGCCGTCTCGACTAATGCCCAGCTGCGACTTCAACCCTATCAGGCGTGAGACGGCATCCAGTTGCGTAAGCTTTGTCTTCTCGTGAAGGGGCTTACGTGCCGACTCCATCATGTCGTAGAAGGCCTTCGCGGTTTGCTCGGATCTTCCTCCACATCCATTCCTTCGCCAAACCGTGCTTTCGTGGAAGTCTACCATCATGTTCGCCATCCCGGCATCGCCATCATACTCCTCGAGGACGGGTCGCACCACCTCCGTCCCTAATAGGATGGTATTCACCATGGTGGCGCCAACGGGTATAGTTTGGAACGAACCCGTGCTTGAACAGATCTCTCACCCCTGAGCCTTTACTTTCTTCTTCTTGTTCACGCTTTTCGGCTGCAGGGACACGGCATCCGAATTGACCCTTTAGCAATGGGCCAAATGCATGCTCCAGAACTCGGGCGTCCCCCGATCCATTCGTGGCTCTTACTTGCGGCCCGGTAGTACATCCACTCACGGTCACCCATGCTCATCATGCGGCAATGTTAACATGTGATAAAACCAGCAAGTGCATCTACAACGCGCTCCTACCATCTAATAGGTGAAGGATAGGTCTAATCCCACCCGAGCATCTTGTGAGACGAGGTTAGCTTCCATGCTCGCTCCGTCCGAGACGGATTTCGATGAAGACACCTCCCATTGTTCTCCCGATACACGTCCCGCGGGGGAGAGTGTGTATCCAGAGAACAACGGGAGGTCCCCGCCAAACTCCGACTTCGGATGGGAGCAGTAACATGGAGCTAACCTCGTCTGCGCATCCTCGGGCTGTCCAAAATAACGTGGACAATCCGAACGGATACGGTTATACATATGCGAAGAACGCATACTTCCAACCGTATCTGTTTGAGACGGAGACGCCTAACTAGGTAACGCGACCTATGACTACATGTGGCGGAAAGAGGGTCATACCGCAGTGCCGGTGAAGAAAGGCTAAGCGGGCGGTGCGAGTCGTGCTTCTTCCGGCTAGCCTCCAATGGGAGCCCTCCCGAAAAGAAAAACAATTAGTGAGAACGAAAATTTTCGGCAAGCACCTCCCACATGCACAGAAGGTTACCAAACACTGCAAGAAAAGACGGCACACGATGGCCGACAAACACATATACATGTCACGCATACGATGGCCGACAACCACAAATGTATTTCCAATCCATGCGAGAAGAATATAAGCGGTATTAACAAAGTAAACTACTACTACTAGTAGTACTACTACCTCGTCGTCGCCACGGACGGCGTCACCGGCGCAGCGAGCGGAGGCGCGCGCGAGGACGGCGGCGAGGCGGGATGGCGCTGGCGAGGCGAGGACGGCGCGGGCGAGGTGAGGACGGCGAGGCGAGGACGGCGCAGGGCGAGGACGGGCGACGCAGGCTTGGGCAGACGGCGAACAACAGATGGACGGCTGGGACGACGCAACGACGGCGGGACGGCCATGGACGGAGCGGGCACGCCGGATCGGGCGAGGCAGCAGCGACGCCCGGGCGCGTTAGAGGCGAGGCGAGCTGTCATGGCAGCCGACGCCGAGTCAGACGCTGTGATGGCGCTGCCGGCCGGGTCGGATCGGGCGGGCAGCAGCCGGTGAGGGCTCAAGGGCGGCTGGCCGGGCCTGGGGCCCAGCGCGTGCAGGGCCAGCATGGGGGCGCGCCGGGAGGGACCAGCTGGGGCCACGGGAGGGCTGCAGGGCTGGGAGGGCACCACGCCACGGGGAGGGACCAGCATGGGGGCCACGGGGGGCGCTGGCCTGGGAGGGCGCCACACACGCTGGGAGGGCGCCACGCCACGGGAGGGGAGGGGAGGGAGCCAGCACAAGGCCGCCGCCGGGAGGGAGGCAGCCAGGAGGAGGAGGAGGGCCGGGAGAGGAGGAGGGATCACGGCCAGGAGAGAGGGAGGAGGGGGGGAGGGGGGGGGGATGCGCGGCTGCCACCGGGTGACGGCGGCGTCGGCAATGGCGGGCTGGCCTGGTGGCGGCGGGCGGGATTTTGGGGAGGGAGGGCGGGCCGAGCGGATAAGAGGCGACGTTTTTTTTTTTTTTTTTTTTCCCTTTGCCGATCGCCAAGATGTGACGAGCGGACATGTGGTGGAGATGTCCGTTTTTAGCCACCCGATGTCGCCACTTGCTCGAAACTTTCTCAAATTTTACCACACCTCATATGCGATGACAAGACACGTCGTCAAGTTTACGTCATTTTCGGACTCACTCGATTTTATAAAATTTAAAACACTTTTCACGGCGTGGCTCGGCGTGTTCCAACACCAACACGGTCGAAATTTCACGCGAGGCCCAAGACACGGCCTCAACATGCTCCAAACATCATGAATATCATTTTCGAATCGCGGATTCCATTATTTCATGTACCTGCAGTTCAAATCTGGAGTCTGCGGAAAAAATCAAAGAAATGTAAAAAATCTACGGAATATAGCAAAATAAATCAAAATGATCCCAAACTTGGAATATATCATGTACTTACTGTATCAAGGCAACACAAAAAACTAGGATCGAAAATCAAAAAAAATAAAAATTCTTTGCCGATTTGCCGGGGAGGATGGCGATTAACCAAAGCTCGCGCTTTTGCCGATTGGCGGCGGGAGTGGCGATCGGCAAAAGGTGACGATGTGGATGGCGTCAACCATGGCCTGCCTTTGCCGATTGCAATTCTTTGCCAACTGCTCGGCGATCGGCAAAGCCAGAACAATCGGCAAATCCTGCTTTGCCGATCGCAGGAAATTCCAGGTTGGCAAAGGGACCTCTTTGCCGAGTGTCGAAAAAAAACAGTTGGCAAAGAAAATTGCAGTCGGCAAAGAGCCAGTTTCCTGTAGTGAATCATCAACACCAGAATCATATATTTCACTGCTTGGAAAAGACTCTTGTGATCCAGGTTCAACAGCTTCCACATTGCCCAATATCACACGGCACAGCAACATATACTTTACTCCTTTTTCGTCAACATCGCAAAGACCGACACTGAAACAATTAACATGTGGCGTAAACATAATATTATATTAAGCAAATACAAAAACAGTAATCACAAAAACAGGGTTAAGGAGAACACACCTGGTAAAGGCTCGGTTTTCTGGTGAAAGATATACACCAGCACTCAAACCTGCTTTCTCAACAGGATTTGCAGTGGTACCCAAACCATTAATAAGAATCCTAACTATGTCACTCTTCCTAGATCCTAGCCATCCATACTTAACATTTGCATCACCACGTGCTTCTTTAGTTGACTTCATCTGTCTTTCAAAAGCTTCAAATCTACATTGTGCCGTGATATCGTTTGGAGAGTAGCGGTGGACATGAAGTATGTTATTCGATGTTGCAAACGGACTCATACCAGAGAGAAAAAGGTTCTGGACAAACAGAAAACCTTCGCTGCCTCTTTCGACAGATGTGATCTTCTTGCGCAAGACATCCACAGTCGAAGGTTTTTGAGGGACTGGGGGATTAGATTCAAGAACTACTTGCTTGACCACTTCAGGTGGAGAATTCGCGACCTTATCTAACATTATTCCCTGTGCAGTGCTATCAACATTGCCAGAATCCTGTTTGGCCATTTCATCACTTTCCTCATCAAAGAACAAAGAAGGAAAGAAACGCTTGCCAGTGTCATCAAACCAGGCAACAGACCGCTGTTTTCTGGTTTTTAGGTTGACCAGGGTCATTGACAAGAAATCAACAAGAATTGGTTCATCATCCACCACAGACACAACACTTGATTTATTTCCTTTGAATTCACCGATGAGGGACTTCATTATTTGCTCTGGAAAATTGTGCCACGAACCCTTTTTGTAATACATGACACGGCATGGCGCTCCACTCTTCAGAAAATTGACACAATCATTGGCAAGGTTAGGTCGAGTGCAGCAACAGTTGCAGTGTTTAGCAAATGATGAATCGCATGAGGGCCCATTCTCAGATTTGACACGGCGAGATTTGCAGTCTTTTGACAGGCAGTCATCAACAAGCTTCCGCTTCAAGCACAGGGAATTGGATTCTTGCAGAGATGCCATGAGAAGCCTTGCTTTTAACTCCAAACAAATATGGAAACAAGAAAACTAAGCCCTAATATATATACAAGTTACAGGTCTCCCTTCATATCGACATCTCAGAGGTCCTGTATAAGATAATGAATGAATTTATCTCAAGCAGAAAACACAGTTCAATATTCTAGAAGTTCGCGAAATAATAAATGGAACATTAGTAACAGTGACGCTAGCATTCATAAAGCAAAAACTAAGTGGACAAGGAAGATCAATTGCATATAGCAAGCATCAATCATGCAAATAAAGAGTCTAATTGAGTTGTTTTTTAAACAATGAATATCACAATCTGTGAGCATCAGGCAGTGTGCCTAGGATTGTTTTCTCCTAAAAAGGGTCCTAAGCAGGTATATCAGCTCCACAATTAGTTGTTGAAGCTTGACCTAGAAACAAGTTGACAGCAGGAGCACAAACTTTGCATGAGCAGGGTCTGGATTACCACTCGATGGTAACAGTGTCAAATATTTATGCATTACCATTTTCCAACCTTTAGAATTTAAAAAACAACACCACAACTGATTGAAGTAATAAGGATATCGAATTTGAATTCCCATTGACATAAAAGCATCATCTTGAGATGAAATTGAAGATGATAGACTAACTTAAACTTCTCACCCGCTAGAAACATGAAGGTTTGGTGCTGTTTACTTACACTCCTGTCCCCACAGTGTGCCAGTCTAACCTGCCTCCCACTTGATGCATGCAAGATTACATTCTGCAACTGCAAGGTACAAAACTGCAAGGCTGGTATTGATGGCTAGATAGTGCTTGCAGTCTGCAAATCAATAAGGCTCGGCAAACAACTCATAGTAGCCCAATGGCTCAATAAATCCTACTCCCATGTGGCTAAGGTGAGTGGGGCGGTTGCCTAAGATGGCCCAACACTGCCTCCACACCTGAGGAAAGGGGTACCATAAGTATTTTGTAGGATAGATCTGAATCTGAAGGAGTAATGACTTAAAATTGGGCATCAAGGACCAAAACCGGGGGAGGGGGGTGTCCTATGAGATTAACTCGCCTTTAGACCGTATTTGGATTATTATACACACAAGACATGTGGTAGAATGAATCGACCATCTCATCTATTTGCCATTTGTCGTGTTTTGAAGAAAGTATATCAAGGGCCCAAAAGGTGACGAGGTCCCGTATGATTTATTTCTTGATACCAAATACTATTCAGCAATCAGTGTGCTATTTGATAATTGACCCATTTTTCTGGCATTCAAGAGTGCAAAAGCACAACGTAGTAGTAAAATGCTCTTAGTGCTAAGAATTAGTGTCAACTTGATATAGCTTTTACCAACTAGGATCCGTTTAGTTAGTTGAAATGTAGGGTCGCTTACAGGTAAGTTAAGAGAATTAGTTGATACCACGACTAGGAGGCGTGTAAATATATTATGCGTTCAAGAGACTAAATGGAAGGGTCAGAAGGCGAAGGAGGTGGACAATATAGGTTTCAAGCTTTGGTACATATGAACAGTCGCGAATAGAAATGGAGTAGGAGTTTTGATTGATAAGAGCATCAAGAATGGTGTGGTGGGAGTGGGAAGGCAAGGGGATAGGATTATCTTAGTCAAGCTTGTCGTTGGTGATATGGTCTTGAACGTAATTAGTGCGTATGCCTCCCCATGTGGCCACGACGAGAGTTCTAAGAGATAGTTCTGTGAAGACTTAGATGGTCTAATTAGAGTTGTACCTAGTAGTGAGAAGCTTTTTATAGGAAGAGATCTTAATGGGCATGTAGATACTACAAGCGCAGGTTTCAAGGCAGTTCATGGAGGTTTTAGGTATGGTAGTAGGAATCAGGAGGGGGAGGAAGTTCTGGACTTCACGGTAGCTTCTGACCTGATGATAGCCAACACTTTCTTTACAAAGAGAGAATCTCATCTAGTGACCTTCAGTACCGGACAACACTCTAGCCAGATTGACTTTGTCCTTGCAAGAAGAAAGGACAAACGAGCATGCTTGGGTTGCAAGGTGATACCAAGGGAGTGTATTGTTTCTCAACATAAGATTTTGGTGGCAGACTTTTGTTTTTAGGTGTGTGCCCGTAGGGATAAAAAAGCTAAGATTGAAAGAACAAAGTGGTGGAAACTGAAAGGGGAGACATCAGAGGTATTCAGGGAAAGGGTTATCAAAGAGAGCGCTTAGAAGGAAGAAGAAGACATAAACAACGTGTGGGAGAAGATGGCAACCAACACTCGGAAGGTGGCCTCAGAGGTGTGTGGAGTTACCAAAGGAATTGGAGGCGAGGCTAAAGATACTTGGTGGTGGAACGAGGAAGTCCAAAGGGCTATTGAGGAGAAAGAATGCTATAGACGCTTGTACCATGACAAGAGTGTGAACAACATAGAGAAGTACAAGGTGGCAAAGAAGACTGCAAAGTGAGCTGTAAGTGTGGCAAAGGGTAGGGCGTACGAGTATCTTTACCAACATTTGAGTACGAAGTAAGGAGAGAAGGATATTTATAGGATGGCTAGGGTTCGTGAGAGAAAGACAAGAGACTTCAACCAAGTTAAGTGCAGTAAGGATGAAAGGGAGCATCTCTTAGTGAAGGAGGATGAGATCCGACATCGATGGCAAGAGTATTTTAACAAACTGTTCAATGGTGAGAATATGGACACAACATTTTAATTGGATGACTCTTTTGATGACACCAATAGGCGATTTGTGTGGAGAATCCAAGAATCTGAGGTCAGAGAGGCGTTGAAAAGGATGAAAGGAGATAAGGCGATGAGACCAAATGGTATCCCAATCGAGATGTGGAGATGCCTCGGGGACATAGCTATAGTATGGCTAACCAAGCTGTTCAACCATATTTTTTGATCGAACAAGATGCCTGACTAGTGGAGGAGAAGTATATTGGTACCGATCTACAAGAATAAATGGGATATTCAAAGTTGTACTAATTACCGGGGAATTAAGTTGATGAGCCATACTATGAAGCTATGGGAGAGAATTATCGAGCATTGCTTGAGAGCAATAATGCAGGTCTCTATGAACCAATTTGGTTTCATGCCCAGAAGGTCAACCATGGAAGCCATTTTCTTAATAAGACAAGTTATGGAGTGATATAGGGAGAAGAAGAAGGACCTACACATGGTTTTTATTGACTTGGAGAAGGCTTATGATAAATACCAAGGAATGTTATGTGGTGGGCTTTGGACAAACATAAAGTCCCAACGAAGTATGTCGGGCTCATTAAGGACATGTACAACAATATTGTGACTAGTGTTCGAACAAGTGATGGAGACACGGATGACTTCCCGATTAGGATAGGACTACATCAAGGGTCAGCTTTGAGCCCTTATCTGTTTGTCTTAGTGATGGATGAGGTCACAAGGGACATGCAAGGGGACATCCCTTGGTGTATGCTTTTCACGGACGATGTAGTGCTAGTTGATGAAAGCCGGACATGAGTGAATCAGAAACTGGAGTTATGGCGGGAGACTTTGGAGTCCAAAGGTTTTAGACTCAGTAGAACTAAAACTGAGTATATGGAATGTGACTTCAGCACTACTACTCGGGAGGAGGAAGATATTAGTTTGGAAGGTCAAGTAGTGCCTAGGAAGGATACCTTTCGATATTTAGGATCAATGCTACAGAGAGACGGGGACATTGATGAAGATGTTATCCATAGAATCAAAGTAGGGTGGATGAAGTGGCGCTAAGCATCTGGTGTCCTATGTGACAAAAGGGTACCACAGAACCTAAAAAGCAAGTTTTATAGGACGGCGATTAGACCTGCTATGTTGTATGGTGTAGAATGTTGGCCTACGAAAAGACGACATGTTCAACAGATAAGTGTTGCGGAAATGCGTATGTTGCATTCGATTTGCGGTCATACAAGAAGGGATCGAGTTCGGAACGATAATATACGTGATAGATTAGGGGTAGCACCAATTGAAGAAAAGCTTGTCCAACACCGGTTAAGATGGTTTGGACATGTCCAACGGAAACCTCTAGAGGCACCGGTGCGTAGTGGAATCCTAAGCCACGATAGTTACATGAAGAGAGGCAGAGGAAGACCAAAGTTGACTTGGGTAGAGGCAATAAAAAGAGACTTCAAAGGATGGAATATACCCGAAGACTTAGCCTTAGATAGGAGTGCTTGAAAAACAGTTATTCACGTGCCTGAACCTTAATTGCTTCTGCTGGGTTTCAACTTTAGCCTACCCCAACTTGTTTGGGACTTAAAGGCTTTGTTGTTGTTGTTGCTGCTGCTGCTGCTAGCATAAATAGCTTTTACGAATAGGGGAAAGCTTGATGATTCAATCTTTGTACCATATTAAGCCATGTTAATCGAAAGCTCATATGGCATTTCAATATGAGTGATTTCTTCAATAAAATTAAAGGTTTTAAGACTATATGGTGCACATGTCAATAACTGCTTCTAGAGCTATAATTCATTTCCCATGTGTTAAACATAACACGACAAGCGGTTCAAACTGATCATCAAAAGAATCAAATCCTCTCTGATGATACATACAGCATTTACTGTCAACTCATCAAGTGGAACACGTGAACAAAATTGGAGCTAATAGAAGTAACACGCAGAAACGACAAGTCTCAGTTCTTTTGGTGCATCCGTTGCATGATATTATGCAGACCGTACAATAATCATCTCTACACAGACAAATTGACCACTGCCATCTCCACCAAATGAGTAAAAACAAAGGCATTTTCATAATACTGATAACTAATGCTGTAGCTTGTGACAAGTGGGTAAACCTTACTCTGCCATCTCAACTACAGAATATAAGGTTCTGAAAAATATCTACATGACTTTTAGTTTGCCGTCGACGGGTGTCGAGACGGTCTTAACAACCCGACGGGAAGAAAGCTCCAAATTGGAGCATGGCACAGCAAGGATCACAGCACGATGGGGTCGGGTGGCTCGCTGACTACACCGCGAAGCCATGGACAGGGTTAATTGAATCAAGGCGACTCTACCAAGCCGAATTGAAGGC